CAGCAAGGCTCAGCTCCTCCCCATTTAAAAGCACATTGATATACAATGGTAGTCCATTTGATACATTTCGTTTTACTACTGTTCAAAAGCAAATTATTGACGTTAAACCAGTGTACTACTTTTGATATAGCATTATTTACTTCATTATATTTCAATAATTACATTTTTAATCGGAAAATCAACGAAGTGTTATCAGCAAATTATACTATATCATGGTTATTCCCTACCAAATAAGGTAAGTCATTAATATAAACTAAGAACAGAAAGGGACCAAGAACTGAGCCCTGAGAACACCCATAGATTCTACAGATCCGGAAGAACTGCTTACATTAATAACAACTGTTCGCATTCTATTATTTAGATATGACATAATAATATTTATTTATTTATATATGTGTATCAATTATATATATTTTATATACATGTGTATATTTTATTTATGTGTTGCATTGCATACTTGTATTGAATTCGATCATGAAAACTTAACTGTCCATTACTCACTCTTTGTTCTATCCAAGGTTAGCTGGTAGAGAATGCCATATAGTATTAAGCTCGCTTTTTGTACAAATCTTGATGCAATAAATAATAAAATAATAATAATAACTCCGGTGGCGGTCGAGACTTACCATCGGGTGAACAAGCTATTTTGGCTCCTCTTCTAAAAAAATGTCAAATATGTGTTTTGTATATAAAACTGAAGTGATAAAAGTACTTATAGTATATCTGATAGTGGCTACTGCAGCCCATAGCAAGCTGCAACCAAATTCAAACACAATAGTTGCGTTGTTACCTCTGAGGGCTTATAATATAGAATGCTTAACAGCCTGTAACTATTGTTATCTGTGGTTGTACATCATTTCTATTATGAATCGTTATATTGAATAAAACTATTTTTACGGATTTTATCGCGTTTAATTAACTTATTTTATATTCCCGACGTTTCGGTTGCTTTCCAGCAACCGTGGTCACGGGGGACTGAGGTGATTGACGTTCCGATGTCAAAGTTAACCCGGAGTACCTTCAGCTTTTTAATTATTAATTTTGGTCCGATCTACGCAGAATGAACTAACTGTGTCTTGAAGTCTTGCAAGAAGAATTACAGGATCCCAAGCAGGTGGTAGTACCCAGCCTCCCTCTCTATTGAAATTAGGATAATTAAAAAAGGAAAACGTCGGGAATATAAAATAAGTTAATTAAACGCGATAAAATCCGTAAAAATAGTTTTATTCAATGTGTAGTGTTCGTGTAAATATAAGAAATCATTATGAATCGTTATAAGTAATAATTGTATATTATTATTTATTTAATTACCAAATATAAAATAGATTAAAAGTCATTGAATTGTCATAATAAATATCATAGATAATTTTCTCAGTTTATTTCTAATTTAGAATGTGAGATATTTATAAAGAATATTATATAAGTAATTTCATTTTATATACATTTGTAATTAATTCAATCATCAGTTATATTTATAACAGTGTTTTACTTACTTTCATATTGTAAAGTATTTAGATTGTATAATTCTTACACATTTTAACTGTTGCTAAGTTCAGTTTTGATAGGTAGTAGGGATAGGCTACCACCATTGTGCGATATTTTAAAAACGATTGCAATAATTATTGACTTTCTATTGGTGTTGTGAACTAGTAAAGCAAACAACAAGTAATCAAGCGTATTATTTATTACCCTTCCTGCGATTCCTGTAATACTATACTGACTTTCTATACACTTTAGATCAGAACGCAGCCAGTGCTATATAGCGGCAGCATTAGGTAAGAGGTTATTACGCTCTCTTTTTAGAGCCTTAGTTATTAAGTTATTTTATGCTGAACTACTGCCATCACAAACATTTTAACATTAGCCTTTTAATTTTACTATGCCATGCATGGATTCGTTTTTAAACAAATGCCAGATATTACCTGGCATTTGTTTAAATATTACAATATTAGTGCTGCTGCAATAATATGAAGTGGTTTTATAGCCGATCAAATTTCTAGCTTTCTTACATTTTTGAGAAACATTTAACATGTCTTTACAAAACTAAAGGTGATACACAAACATATGGTCTACCCCATGGCTAATAAACATATACATCTATTAGGTACAAAGCACTGCCTTCCTACACTCATCTCTTTTAGACATACGAGTATATATAATATTGGAGTGCCAGACGAACTAACATTATATGTAAAAAAAATTCAAGTGTTTTAGTAAATAGCCGCTTAAGCCTACCGACTGTAAACTTTTTTATAGAATAAGGGAGACTAATGAGTACACAGTCCACCTGACGGTTAGTGGATGCTGTGGTTCATAGACACCTACATCTATTTCTATTAAAATATCTCATGGAATGTCCCGATGTCAGTAAAAAGTGTCTCCGGTTTTTTTAACATTAGGTGGATCGTTTTTATATTTACACCTTTCATTGAATAAAAACAAAGTACGAGGGCGGGTCAATAAGTCCGTGACTTTTTGAATTTCTGACCTCTTTACTGAAAAAGCAACACTACTCCTATCAACAGGCATCTGTCAGTTGACTCCTGTCAAAATTTGAACTTGCTGCGTCAGTTAGTTTTTGTTTGACAGCTATCTTTATCAGACTACCCAGTAATTTGAGGAAAAAATGGAAAAAAGTGAATTTCGTGTGCTTATTAAGCATATAATGCAAGGTATTGCATTGTAAGGGATAAAAATATTGGAGAAGCGTTGGACAAAGTGTATAGAGCTCAAGGGAGACTACGTTGAAAAATAAAATGATTTATTTATCAAAAAATCTGTGTTTTATTCCAAAAGTCACGGACTTATTGACCCACCCTCGTATGTAATAAACGAACCCTCTTTTACCATAGGTTTTTAAATGAATCGGGTTAAGTATTTCAAGAGTAAGATCAAGCAAGCATGAGAATGAATAACGTTTTATGTAAAATACTAAAAACTTATATTGGAATACTAAAACTAAATACTACAATCTCAAATAATAAAGTGCGTCATAAAAATCATTCATAATTACTTACAATTTGATCTTACTATAAATGGTAGACATACAAAATGCATTTCGTTTTAAATTAATGCATCGCTTGATTTTTTAAATTTGAAATATAATTGTTTCTGATATTTTCAAACAAAATTCCTAATTATATAAAATGATCTCATTATATAAACATAATGTTATTACCACAGCTGCACACTGAATGAACATTTTAAGACAAAGGTAGTGCCAGAAAGTACATGAAGTACCTACTGGCCTTAATTTTAAAGATTCCATAAAGTAGCTGAAATAATCTCGAATGTTTTTGAGTATGAAATAGAATACAAACATAAAAAATGGCAGATTTGAAAACAAAATAAGTTTCGCAGATCATCCATTACGTAAAATCCGTAAAATTTTTTTTTTGCAGACATTTCAACAAACCAAATTTTACGGATTTTACCACTCCCTTTTCTAACTTTTTTAACTTATCTACCCAAGAGATGGTAGCACCCAGCCATATTCTCTATTGAAACTAGGATGCTTTTTTTAATTTGAACAGCCTCGGGAATCGTCCTTGGTAGGAATCGGTGTTTTTTTGCTAGGATTTGTAGTCTATCAAATCTGACATAATGGTTGGGATAATCCTGAACATGTTGACATACTGCAGACTTCTTGCAGACACTTTGCAGACACATTAGTGATAAATTGATGTTATTTTTGTAATTGTTGATCTAATTTCCATAGAGAAGATAGCTAGGTGCTACTATCTGCTTGGGATCTCATAATAAATGAAATTAAATTCAAACTCAAATATACTACTGCAACACCTCAAGATACTGTGAGCACATTTAGCGTAAATTGGACCAAAATTAATATTTAAAAGTTGAAGGTAGCCTTATTTAATTATAACATCAGGACGTCAAACACCTCAGTCCCCCCGGTGACCATGGGTGCTCTAAAGTGTCCGAAACGTCGGGAATTAAAGAAGTTAAAATTAAACGCGATATAATCCATCAATTTAGTTTTATTTCATGTGTAGTATTCGCGTAAATATAAGAAATCATTAAATTAACCTATATAAAATCCGTATATAATTAGTTTAATTGCAATAAGTTAGAAAATTTACTTTTACGTGCAAGTTTACGTTTAGTTTTAAGTAAAAGTAAGTTTTAGCAAAAAGTTTTTATCAATGGTGCAAATGGGCGTGCCGCAGTGCTCAATTCTCGGCTCATTTCTGGCTTTAGTCTTGTCGTTACCACCATTTTTTTCATCACACTAGATGATTACCTTCAATAGGGCCTCCATATATCTAAATTAGCAAGCAGAAATAGTTCTACAGCGTAAGTTGTAAAAAGGACAAGGAATCTTACCAGCGGTTAACCACCTAGACTAGTTTACTTTAACAATTTCCGTAGCATAATGTCGTACGGTATTTTAATATAGGGACACATTATTGTCACTGAAAATATATTTGTTTTTGAGAAGAGAACTTTAGCTAATCACTACATTCACGAAAATTTTATATATGTACATAAAAATATGAGTAGTTTTTAAGAATAAAGGAGATCATTATTTATATATTTGAACTTAAATATTTAATTTGGATAATCTTTAAAAAATAACCCTGTTTATATTAATACGTGAACAGAAAACTTTTCACACGGAGGAGTGTGAGATTTGGCATAGTTAACGTTTATACGGAGAAAGAGTGTCGAAAGCTAAATAAAAATTTAATAAAAAATAATCATTAAAATCGGTTCGCAATTGGTGAAGATATCTCGTAACATATGTACATACAAAAAATTCAAACTACTGTACAATTGTGCACCTCTTGAAGTCGACTAAAATAAAAAAAATACAGTTTTATCCTTACGTTATTATGTCGTCACTTGGAAGTGAAACAAAGCGAGAACTTTCTAAAGAAATAACCAAAACATCTTGCTTATGTTAAATTATCTAAATTGCCTTTTTAAAAGGTATTTGGAGTTAAACGTTATTAAGTAGTTTGAAAATAACAAACATAGAGAATTTAAACTCTTTTTATTTTCTTGCTATCTATATTAACGTTTTAAAGTTAGCTACATATAATATAGTATAATAGATTGCTACGGGCTATATTCCGCAATATCAAGCGCGTGTTAGCGTGAAAACAGGAACTGTGTAGTACACGAGCTATCCAAGCTTGTGGAAGAATTTCAAAAAACTCTTGACATTACTGACAACCTTGGTGTGCTGATATTGTGTATTTTTGGCAACTTTGGACTTTCAAGCAGAATGTTGTCCTTTCTTCTACCCTCATAAAAGCACAGCCGAGGGAATTATATGTTTATATAGATATTACGCAGGCAACTCTCGGCCAGTGAATCGCGGTGAAATGCTCGTTGGATACAGGTCTTGTAGCTTGAATGTCACTTTCCATTGCTTTTCTGGAATTTAGGTTATACAGTTAAAGTAGTGTTTCTTTTAACTATTGTAAGGCAGTGCTTGACAACTATCCCACTTGACGGTAAGTAGTAACCGAACCTAGTAGCCGAATATGGTAACTGCACTGACTTAGCTTAATATAGCTTATTCACTCTGGCCTTAAAGATTCCAGAATTGTAATCGGGTGGAAAGACACATGTTGGCAAATGATTCACGCTTTTTTCACGATGAAGTATATCATCCATCTATACATGCATATAATCTATAAATGTCCACTGCTGAACGTAGGCCTCCCACATAGCGCCTCATAAGGGACATTTTGCCATAGATTCCATCCTTGGCACACATTTTGAGTGGTTATCGGGAAGCTGATGCTGCACATCACCTGTTTCAGTTTCTCTCTCTCGCCTCTTACAACTCCCACGATACGATATGGGGTAGTGGATATTCTTACACCGCCTATACACCGTTAATACGGTTAATGGTTCAAACCGTTTGATTCGATGCGTGGTATGTTGACAACAAAGGAGTTCTATGATGGAACGAAGAGGGAGGAATAAATTCAATAGTAAGTTTTTTGTCGGATTTAACAGGATTTTTATCTATCCATCCATTACAGTCTATCAAAGTCCGCTGTACACACAACAAAGGCATGCCTCTTCATAAATGGCCTCTCTCATATTTGCCATAATTGCGACGCTAGGCAGGCGGGTATGCCACCATCGGTTTTTATTTTCTAGTTGTAATTAGGAAGATGCTGTTGCCCATTTCTTGAATGGTTTCCCTCTGCCGCCTCTTCCGTATTATTCTTACACCACCACTATACGGTTTAGCTTTTGATCATTTGCTTTTAATATAGTTTTACTGATGATGTGCCATATTGTCTTAATATGATGGTAAACCTGCGCATTGCTACTTTAGCACGAATGAGTCGACTCGACCGTGGAAGGACCATGGCTCGCACAGAATACCAGCGTGAAAATAATATACGAGCATATCCCCCTCTCTTCGGCCTGTATTTGCTGATAGTTTTCCACCCCACGGTAGGCCTAGAATAAATAAAATTTTCCCGAGAGAATTAGGCATTTTCTCGTGGTAAAAGCTATTTCTTCAGGATGCAGTCAATCTATCTCACAACCTAATGAAATCTATTCAGCAGGCGTATGAAGATAACAGACAGTCTGACCGACTAAGTTCTTTCGCAATTATATTATCAGTTATAATATTTTAAGCTATTATCTAGTACTTCTGTTGTGGTCTGTAGTGACAAATTTTAAAGGATAGGGGCAAACGAGCATGCGGCTCACCTGATGATAAGTGTCGACAATCCACTGATGAATACAGGCCTCCCACAAAATTTGCCTCATAAAGGTTTTTATCATAGGTGATTTTGCTATAGTTGTCACATATGTACAACTATTGCAAAACTATGGTAAAAACCATACTCGAAACGTCGGGAATATAAAATAAGTTAATATACGCGATAAAATCCGTAAAACGAGTTTTATTTAAATGTTTAGTGTTCGCGTAAATATAAGAAATCGTTATTTTTTTGTTTTTGTGTAAATACATTAAATTTTCTTAAATTAACTGAGAAAGCAAAGTATATTATGTATATTTATTTCTTTAATTTTTTTCTACGAGAACTCAAATAATTTACTACACCATGGGAAGACAATCTAAACTCAATCGAGAACACAATTTAATTTTCTTAACTTTGACCAAGTTCTCACCTTGGTTTGTTTGGACATCAGTGTTAGTGCGTCGTCTTTAGACGTCGTTAACATATGTTGAACAGCATTACAAGTGGTCCTGAAAGTTAATAATGTTGATATTAATATTTATGTGTGACCTATAATTTTTTACTTAATTTTTATAGTGCAGTCGACTACCCCATATCGCCCTTGGGTTTCGTTAAGAGGCGACAGAAGAAAACAAACTAGGATATGGGCAGGATGTAATGGAAGTAAATGCGTTAAATAAATACGCTAAACTAACACTTATATTACAATCAATTTCGAATATATTACATTATGTTTTGATGTATTTTAACAGGAAACTAGTATAAGTTTGCATGAGATACGAGAAAACGGTTGAATAATGTATAATTATATTTTATAATATGCCTGTTGAATTATCTTTTCGATAATAGATCTGCAGTAAAGCTCATACTCACACTCGAGAACTTAAATGATCTAATAAGAATAAAGTAGAATAGGTTGGCCAAATTGTTTTGTAGCTGCACTGATGGAGAGATATGGTTCATTATGTTGTAGTAAGGCGACCGCCGATTACGTGGAATCACGATCTCATGAAGCACGAAACAACTCAATTGATGCAGGTGACTTAAAACCGGCCAGTCGTCTAAAGCTGTCATCGCAGAGATCTTATGAAGAACTGTAATTATGATAATATGAAGAAACGTGAAAATCAATCTGTGAAAAAGCTTACATATTTTAGGAGAATGAGTCATAAGATTTTTTTATTGCCATCTCTTGATAGTTTTCTCATATGTAATCAAAAGTTTAATAGAAGTCATAGTCAATTATAATATAAATATTAATCAAAAATATTTGTATAAAAATGAACAAATATTTAGAGTTCATTTATCAATTAATTAAGGATTAAAAATAAATCGTATGTGAATTGATAAATACGAACCCAAAAACATCTGCAAAGTCGCGTTAAGAAAAGGTAAAGAAAGAGACAGAATATAAAGATATGGAAATGATGCAATTATCGCTTCTTTTCCGATATTCTTTTGATTCCGTAATAATTATTAAATAAAATAAAACTTATGAAAGGAAGCTTAATTAAAAAAAAGAAAAGAAAAATGATTTCTTTGTTTTAGCTTCTGTTAAATTTTGGAATACAAAGTTCTTAATTAGTTCGAACAATTGAACTCTTCATTCACTGTCATTCTTTTCAAGGGAGAGCAATCGAATAGCACGTGCATGGAATGGCAATAATTAACTTTCAAAATAATTAATGGTAAATATTGGCATTTTCTTAATTGGTAAATAAATAAAAGTTTAAAGAATTTTAAAATAGTAATGATGTGTATAGTAATTTGTGTGTGATTGTAATTTGTTGTAAATTGTAGCACAGACTAAGGTATTCTCCAAGACAAAAGCACGCCGGGTTGCATATTTCTGTACATCTAGTCCAGCATCTGGATTTAAAACAATGATGATTAAGTATTTTAACCATTATATGGGAAAAATAGTTTGTAGAACATTTGATAAGTCAATGTATGTATGACTTTGATGGTGATCTAGAAGTTTGTCTTGTGGAAGTCTATGAGGAAAAACTTGGATTAGAAATAACAATGACTGATGTTAGAGTATATTGCTGAACATCTATGATAATAATATAAACAACACGCTATCAATTTATCGAAAAAATAGTATATTTACCGGTGCGTCTGTAAGTAAGGCGATTATTACCAAACAATTACTTTTTCATCGAGATTAGTGTTTGATTTCACAATGACCGCGGTGGTATCAAATAACTAGAAGGTTATCGCGGATATTTGGTAAATAAAATATTTAAAGTAACCTCAAAATCTTTGACTCATATTTAATATGAACACAATTTTTATTAACAAATCTTAATGTTAGTAAGCATCAATTTATCCCACTTGTAATTTCTAAAATATGTATAAGTGTTCCATTTTTAAATCAAGAAGTAGTTTTATAGGCTTTTTGGGATTTAAACTCATTTTGGATTTACACCACGTCAAATATCGCTTTAGTACCGCAAACAACAAATTATGTCTGAAATACTCTTAAAATCTTGTTTATTCATTATTACATCCATGTTTTTTCTAACATCACCATCTTTTCCCCATAATAGTTAATAATACTGCTACCAGGTAGTATTATTGTTGTTAAAGTCAATATCATCTATGTAATGTAACGCCATCTTCATTTAATAAGGATAAACCCTAATCATATTTAACAAAAGTGCCACTGACGCGACAGGGAAGGTTCTTCCAGATCGATTAGAATAGAATAGAATAGAATAGAATAGAATAGAATAGAATAGAATAGAATAGAATAGAATAGAATAGAATAGAATAGAATAGAATAGAATAGAATAGAATAGAATAGAATAGAATAGAATAGAATAGAATAGAATAGAATAGAATAGAATAGAATAGAATAGAATAGAATAGAATAGAATAGAATAGAATAGAATAGAATAGAATAGAATAGAATAGAATAGAATAGAATAGAATAGAATAGAATAGAATAGAATAGAATAGAATAGAATAGAATAGAATAGAATAGAATAGAATAGAATAGAATAGAATATTTTTTATTCAATATACATTACATGTGTAATTCTTATTGAAAGTCATTTTTTACTTTACCACTGGTTCGAAAAAAACCCTCTGTCCTGGGAAGAACCAGCAAGAAACCCAGCGGGACTTTTTTTTTTAAATAAATTTTACAATATAAATGATTACGAACTATTTACAAAATTTATTTTAGAAACTGCTTGGAAGCGATCACCTCATTCCCAGGGGTTATTATCAACCATGTATTCATTTACATTATAATAACCCTTTTTATACAGTTTCAGCTTAATAAAACATTTAAACTTGGTAATAGAGAGAACCTGTACACTTTCCGGGACCTTGTTGTAATAGCGTATACATTGCCCCAAGAATGAATTACTGACTCTGTGGAGTCGAGAAACTGGTATCACTAGCTTGTGTTTGTTCCTAGTGTTTACAGAATGTATATCACTTCTTTTACTAAAACTATCTTTGTTTTTGTGAACATACATTAAATTTTCGTAAATATACTGAGAGGCCAAAGTTAATATATTAATTTCTTTAAATTTATCTCTAAGAGACTCTCTCGGTTTTAGATTATAAATAGCTCTAATGGCCCTCTTCTGTAAAACAAAAATAGTTTCTGAATCAGCCGCATTTCCCCATAGCAAAATCCCATAAGACATTATGCTATGAAAATAACTAAAATAAACTAATCTAGCTGTCTCGACACTAGTGAGACCTAATCTTTTTTACAGCATAGGCTGCAGAACTTAGTCTGCTTGCTAATTTGGATATATGGGGGCCCCACTGGAGCTTTGCGTCAAGAGTGATGCCAAGAAAAACAGTGGATACAACAGGGCCCAATTCCTCCCCATTTAAAAACACATTGGTATTCAGATTTTGAACATTCGTTGTTGTAAATTTAACACAATTAGTTTTATTTCCGTTCAAATGCAGATTATTAACGTTAAACCAATGCACTAATTTTGATATAGCATTATTCACTTCTTCACATTTAAATGATTGACGTTTAAGTTTAAAAATCAAGGAAGTATCATCAGCAAATAATACTATATCATGACTATCCCCTACAAGGTGAGGTAAGTCATTAATATACACCAGAAACAGGAATGGGCCGAGAATCAAGCCCTGAGGTACACCCATTAGTACAGGTGACCCGGAAGAACTTTTACCATTGATAATAACCTTCTGTTTTCTATTACTTAAATATGAAATAATAAGTTTAAGCGCTGTGTTCTTGACACCATAGTACTGTAGCTTCCTGATTAATGTCTCATGGTGAACACAGTCGAAGGCCTTGGAAAGGTCACAAAATATACCCAAAGCATCCTCTGAATTCTCCCATGCACAAAAAATATGTTTAATAAGCTCAACTCCAGCGTCAGTTGTCGAGCGACCCCTTGTAAAACCGAATTGATTATTATGTAGCAATTTATTAATATTAAAGAAACTTAACATCTGATCTAAAATAATTTTTTCAAAAATTTTACTTAATGTTGGTAGTACAGAAATTGGTCTAAAATTGGCGGGGTCTAATGTACTACCAGATTTAAATATAGGTATGACTTTACTATGTTTCATTAAATCAGGAAACCCACCAGATTCGACGCTTATATTACATATAGTGGCTAGATAAGGTGCTAATGTATCTATTATAGATAAAATAACTTTAACGGAAATCCCTCATAAGTCTGCCGTTTCCTTAACATCAATAGTTTTAAAATATTTAACGATATCTTTTGGCAGTACCCTATGGAATTTAAAAGTATTTGAACAAGCCTTTACATTTTGTTTGAGCAATGATTCGGCGACAGTAGGAGAAGAATTTAATGATTTTGTTGTCAAAAAAGGAACATCAGTAATTTCATTAGACTTAATTCAATAGATTCATTTTACTTTTTCATATCTTTCACTACTATACATGAAGGGGTAAGCTTACCCCTTTGACTAACTGTCAAAAATGATTTATTCAAGACACAAATGAATGTGATAAAGTAAAAACGAATTCTCTAACATTTCAATTTCAAGTACACATTGTTCTACATTGCACATAACACCACCGTAGATATTGAACAACACGTAATTGGTAATCACATTTTTAACATTTTCATGAAGCACTTCAAAACGGCACAACATTTATACTGTAAAGTGACAAATAATATGAGATATATTTGTGTTTTGGATTGCTAATAACGTAGAAGTTTGAACTGTGATATAATAAAATATAAACCATTGTGATATTTGTGGACTTGTATATACCGTATTGAATTCGAATGTAAAATGACTTATCATACTTGCCGATAGTCCAGTTATTTACATTCGATAATTTTGTGACGTGTTTGATAACGCGAACCCCATTGCAGAAACATTTTAACTATCTAATTTAAATAACAGATTTAGTGCTGTAAATAATTCAATGAGGGCGGTAAAATTGCAGTTATTTGGACAAATTAGAATGAAATGACTATAATACGCCATTTTTATTGTCTATTTATATTTCTTTCTTAGTCATCAGATAATAAAAGTCCACTGCTGGACATGAACCTCTTCTGTTGTAGGATTCTGTGACAGGTTTGCGATCGCAATGGCAGACATTTCGCACATCCAATATTCCGCCTCAATTTGGGTATTTTACGTTTGGCATAAGCAGGATGGTTATACCTTCATCTGTCCAAAGTCATAGGATCATTCTAGCATGTTCCGTAGTCGTCTATAACAACTTCTCTTATTCGCCTAGCCTAGATATTTGCAGAAACGGTAATTAAATTTTACTGTTTATTGAATTTCATAAATCAATATTGAATAAATAACTTTTTTTAGATAATTTGTGGTGTCATTAAAATTGAAAATTTGAAGCAAAACGTGTGATTGGAAATTTGGGACAAATATAACTTAGTAAAGTTCACATGTTTTCTTTTTGAAAGAACGCTTTACAACATTTTACTTGTTAATCTAATTAAAAAATGAATAACGAAGATAATTTTGAACAAAATAAGGCACAAGCAACATCAAGCATTTATAACGATTAAAACTGCAATGATCTTCCTATGTTAGAAGATGATCTTCAAGAAGAATTATTGCAAATTTTCAAGCAACTTAAATGTTGTTCATATTAATGCTCAATGTATTTATACTCACCGTCTAGCTTTATTAGCTACGTTTAGTACTGTTTATGATATTGATGCTATTCTGACATCTAAAAGTTTTTGAAGCCCATTATGAGTTCGAGTGAATGCGATTTGCCAGGTTACGAATTAATCCGTAACGATAGGATGGAAAAAGGTTGTGGCGGGACAGCAATTTGCCTTCGTAATAATTTACGGTACGAAATTGTAGACCAATCATCAAATGTTTAAACCATGTCTACTGAATACCTTTTTATTGAAATAGTTCATAAATGAACTAAAATTCTTTTAGGTGTGTTTTATAGTCCATCTCTAAATACTGATTATTTTTCATCTTTTGATAAATAACTTGAACAGTATCGTCCTGTATATACATCTGTATATACATAATATGATCATGTGCTTATCCTAGGCGACTTCAATACAAATTTGTTGAGAAAAATAGTAGATCTAAGATATTGTTGTCAATTATACATAGCCCGGCAAACGGCAAGGCCCCAGGCGAGGATGGAATTACAGCGGAGCTTCTGAAAGCGGGTGGAAGACCGTTACTTGAAGTCCTTCAGAAGCTCTTTAATTCCGTCCTCCATGGTGGCATTACACCGAAGGCGTGGAGCAGAAGTGCGGTGGCCTTGTTCTTCAAGAAAGGTTATAATGCTCACTTGAAGAACTACAGACCGATTTCCCTTCTGAGCCGCGTCTACGTGCTGTTTTTGAGAGTCATTACGAAACGTCTCGCGCGCAGACTTGACGACTTCCAGCCTCCCATACAAGCCGTTTTCCGAAAGGGCTTTAGCACAATAGATCACATACATACCCTTCGGCAACTTGTACAGAAGTCCGCCACTTTTTTGCCACTATGTCTAGCGTATGTGGACTATGAGAAAGCCTTTGATTCCGTCGAAATTTGGGCGGTGCTGAAGTCCCTTCAGCGGTGCCAAGTTGACTGTCGGTATATCGAAGTGCTGAAGTGTTTTTACAGTAGAGCTACGATGGCTATCCGAGTACAGAACCAGAGTACAAAACCTATCCAATTGCAAAGAGGTGTAAGACAGGGTGATGTTATATCCCCGAAACTCTTCACCGCTGCATTGGAAGACGTTTCCAAGCTTCTGGACTGTAAAGGATACGGTATTAACATAAATGGCGATTACATCACTCACCTTCGATTTGCCGACGATATAGTCCTTATGGCAGAATCGCTGGAGGACCTAAGCACCATACTCAATGACCTCAATAGTGTCTTCCAACGAATAGGTCTTAGGATGAACATGGACAAAATAAAGATCATGTTTAATGTCCATGTCACACCTATGCTGGTAGTTGTTGGGAGCACTAAGCTAGAAGTTGTTGACGAGTATGTTTACCTGGGACAAATAGTCCGACTAGGTAAGTCCAACTTCGACCGAGAGGTCAATCAACTGATTCAACTCGGCTTGGCAGCTTTCGGGAAACTACGAAACATCTTCTCGTCGGACATACCTCAAAACCTTAAAACGAATTCGAACAATCGGTGCGTGTTGCCAGTGATGACTTACGGATCTGAGACTAGGTCCTTCAGTGCTGGCCGTATGAGGAAGCTCAAGGTCGCTCAGCGAGCTATGGAGATGGCTATTCTCGGGGTTTCTCTGCGTGATAAACTTAGAAATGAGTATATCCGCAGTAGAACCAGAGTAACTGACATAGCCCAACGGATTAGTACTGAAGTGGCAGTGGTCCGGCCATATAGCACGAAGAACCGACAACCGATGGGGAAGAAAGGTTCTTGAGTGGCAGCCTCGTACCGGTAGGCGAAGTGTAGGACGACCCCCCACGAGATGAGTTGACGACCTTGTAAGACATGTAGGAAGTCGGTGGATGCAGGTGGCTCAGGACCGTGCTTTGTGGCTTTCCTTGAGGGAGGCCTATGTTCAGCAGTGGACTTATGAAAGGCTGTTATGATGATGACAATAGATAGCCATAAACTAAACATATTCACTCTAATGCCCACTCATTTTAAACCACATTCAGCGCCCGCACTTTTGGATTTGATTATAGTATCAAATTCGGATAAAGTAGCAAAGTTTGGACAACTAAAAGGATATTTCTCTTATCATGATATAATTTATGTCTCATATGATTTACAATTATTGACAAGTAAATATTCTGGTAATATTTTAAGCAAAAGCGAATATTTTATCAATAACGAAGAAGGACCTAGCAACGAAGTCGTTAAGCCTTTCTGGCAAAGTCCTCGCGTTCGGCAAGCACTAGCAGAACAATACATGGCGATGAAAAAATATGCCAGTGATCAGTCTGAAAGTAACTTATTACATTATCAAATGCGCAGAGATGAGGTAAAAAAAATTAGACGCAGAATTTAAACGCGAATTGCGTAAGAAATAAGGTAAACGCTCTTTTTTCAGGTATTTTTTTAGAAATTGAATTATTTAATTTACTAATACATCACAATAATCAAAATATCTCTTTGATGTACATTGTAGTTATTTTGCTTGAAAAAAAAATTCACTTTTTGACCAGTAAGCAATTTTTCTTATAGATGTATTACTTTAATTTAACTTGATCTGCAGTTAGCTAAGGCAATTGATGGTACTGATATTTAAAAAAAAATATATTTTTTATTTATTTTGTTTATTGAATTCTATTTTAGTTAAAAATAATTTACTTACCTAAATTATAGCATTTATTACTATTAATAAAATCACTTAATGAATTTAAGATAGGTTAGGTTAGTTTAGATTGACGGAAGACTTACTGTTTAGGACGGGCTGCGACACTAACGGTAGGTTTAAGCCTGCCATTTTTATGTATGTATTCTGCTTTAAATATTTTATATTATTTATATCCTAACAACGTTGTTGTTAAGAAAAAATGTCAAAAATTAGTTAACATATTCTATTTTCAATTTATGATATGTAAAGCAGCTTCCCTACGTACTTATATTCAGTGTAAATCCATAAGAACAATCTATTATTTAAAACTTAAATAACTTTGGCCTTTTAATACATATACGGAAATGTAATAAATGTACACAGAAATATAAGTAGTTTAAAAAAAGTGATATTCACTCTGTCACAATACTTGGAACAGACACTAGCTCGACTAGCTAGTAGTATTAGTTAGTCGACTTATTCTTGGGGCGATGAATATGTTTTTACAATAAAATCTCAGAAAATATACGAAATGTGTTCTGCACCAAGACAACAAAGATTTATTAAAAAGGATTATTCAAGGAATTTATGGATGGTAATATCATCTGGAAACGACGTGATCGCTACTAAGCTATTTATAATTTGTTTTGTGCAGTTAATTGTGTTACTGTATTATGATTGTGAAATGTTTCGATGGGTTTCTTGTTGGTTGATCCCAGAACAGAGGTATTTTCCGAACCAGTGGTAAATTAAACATGAGTGACTTTCAGTAAGTATTACTTATAACCTATATTAAGTTCTATGCCAAAAATCCCCCTCATGGGCAATCTATTGAAAGGCCTGTGTTCAGAAGTGGACTTTTTTTAATAATTTTTTTTTGATAATTATTACTTTAATAACGGTGGTAGAGCCACGCAGCAGTTTTTGCTGTTGCACGTATGGGCCGGCTCGAGCTGGGTTGGTACCACGACCTCACAGAATACCGGCGTGAAGTAGAAGCTCTGCTTTTGCGTTACGTCTGGTGAGTACAGGTGGCCGGAGGCCCATATCCCCCCCCCCCCATCAACATGGTGGCGGAATTACACAATAGACTACCCCAGAGGGGTACCAGTACCACTGGAGAATCCCTCGCTGAACATCCACGACCATGTTATTCCAATCCTGAGCGTGGGTGCACAGACTGCCCCGCGTTTTCGGGGGGAGGGGGGCAAAATTCCGCTCAAATACAATAACAATACCAAGGCGACCCCTGCCACGCTATCCGTGAATTTCTGCAACATCAGGGGACTTTACTCTAACCTAAACGCCGTCCACTACCATCTCGAGACGGCGAAGCCGGCCTTGCTCTTTCTGACCAAGACGCAGGTTTCCTCTCCGGCTGATGTTTTGTATCTCTCCTACCCGGGGTACAAATTGGAGCACTCCTTTGTGCCTCGGGCTGGAGTTTGCGTGTAAGTCAGAGAGGACATCTGTTCTCGACGCCTCGGCAGTCTTGAAGGTTCGGACCTGTCCATCCTTTGGCTACGCGTAGACAGCGACGA